GATAGATAGATAGATAGAAAAAATGATGATAGAATGAAAGATAGATAGATAGATAGATAGATAGATAGATAGATAGATAGATAAATAGATAGCTGACTCTGATCTGGTCATGGTGAAAAAGCCAATAAGAACACTTGCGCAGCTCATAAAGTACTGTGGTAGTACCATAGTACTGAATATTAGCATATTTGTACCATGGTACACACCTGCATAGACTAATGTAGTGATGACAGCAGCTATCGCAGGAACCCGATATTTCTCCTGCGCTTTCTCCACGTTAAACGCCGCAGTGTGCATCACAAACGCGCAGCTCAGCTCCACCGCGGCGGCCTGCAGCAGAGGCGCGTTAACCGGGCTCTTCGTGCATTTAAAGCCCGCCACTGAGTGCTGTGCGTGCAGGTCAGAGAGCGCCAGCGCCCACGCGTGAGACATGACGCGCCGCGCCGCCACTGCCGCGATCAGCTGGCATGAGATCCGCGTCAGTGCGCATCCTCGCGTCAGAGCCCCGCGCCAGAACTGCTCCAGAGCGCCGGTCGGGTTACAGATCGCGCCGTGGAACGAAAGCCCGTGGACCACCGAGATGAGGTACGTGAGGGTCAGCGCGATCCGCGGCTCCAGTCCGCGCACCTCCGCGAGCAGCTTTAACTCGTGCGTGCAGGCGCACAGCTGGAAAGTGGAAATCAACTCCAGCACATAGCTGATCCAGTTTCGATTTGGGAAAAGATATAAAGCCGTCCTCCTCGCCAACTCGCTAAAAACTACAATCACCAGCAGTAAGGACAGGGAGCCGGTGAGATCGGCCATCTCCGCCATCGCATCGTCCGGCCTCGCTGCGAATAATCGTGCTAAACTCTGATCAAGTCAGGCAACTTTACAACGGCCCCGCCTCCGCGCCGCTAACCCCGCCCACTTTAAGTCAATCTGTGCAACCCACTATGGCAAAAGACTTGACTCATGAATATTAAGTAGATGATGCTAGAGACTTCCTGGAGTGTCCAGACGCGTAAGATAATTCATATTCATGAGCCATTCTTTCTAGTAACTGATTCGTCGATTCGTCAGCTGACAAGCGGTCACGTCTGCCCTTCAGCCAATCATAAGGCTCACTGGGAGAACGTCTTGTTACGTAAGTAATATTCATGAGCCAATTCTTTAGCTTAGTAGGATTTGTAAAGCACTTAGTCCAGGGTTGCCAGTGATCACATAAATAAACATTTCCTGAACACTCTTTAATCTAACAGAAATGTAAGCTTCTTATATATAATATAATATAATATAATATAATATAATATAATATAA